GGTGGCAGGAGCCAGAAATTACTTCTGTCCTCCGCAGTTGTGTCAGGCACGACTCGTACCCAAGCCAGCTGTGCTTCGTATAAGGGGAGGCGGCTGTGCTTGCTTAAGCCAGGAGCTTCCTTGGAAAGTCTTCTTGGGTTCTGGGCGAGGCGGGGAGTGGGGAGTGGGGTGGTGGTCCGCTGCATGTGCTGATGACTGCAGGTTTAGGTCTGGGGTGGGCTTGGAGGGAGGGGAAGCCAGGCTGCTGCTGCCACCTAGGAAGGGAGAGGCAGAGATCAGGCCGGGGCCCAGGTGCTGGAGTGATTTCTTTGCAGGTAATGAGAGATGGCCAAGGAGAACAAGGGTACCTTTGGGAAAGGGGCCCCACCACCAGCACCCCATAGGCAGGCCATAACTAAGCACTCCTGGCACCACATGGAAGGGGCGTTGTGTGCTAGGGTGGTAGAAACTGCTTGGATGTCTTCCCCCTGCAGGGTGCAAGGCAGTGGCATTCCTGACTTTTGGGCAGAGGTCTTGTCAGGACTGCACCTGGGGTCTTCTGAGAGCTGACACAGAGCTGCAGGAGGAGGGTCCCGGCCCTCCCTCCCTACAAGGACTGACCTTCCCTGGGAACGGTCCTTGTAGGGTCAGACCCCAAGTGCCTGTCCCGATGGCTCTGGTTCCCCTGTGAAAGGCAGCCCTGCTGGCGGAGGACTTGGAGGGGGGGGGGGGAATGATGGTAGCCTCTCCAGGCATCTGGCGTACGGTATCTTGTCGCCTGGTGTGATGGTGCCCGCAGCAACTCAGGGCTCCTGGGGCGAAGGCAGACAGGCTCCCCGTGCCCTGGAGTTGGACCGCCCTCTAGTGGCCATTGATGGCATGGAACCCTCTTGATTTTAAGCGTAGCTGGCAGCCCAGCCAAGGGCAAGGCAGTTGGGCAAGTTTTAAAATATTCTACACCGGCATTTTTCAGCAACGGGAAGATGTGGGACGTCAACGCCATGCTGGCTGGAGAATTCTGGGAGTTGAAGTCCACGCATCTTACCGTTGCCAAGTTTGAAAAACGCTGAGCTACACCATCTTGTATTGTACTCCAGCCTGGCCTTAGCCTCCAGAATCCTGTCGTGCTTGTTGCAAACCACCTTTACCAGTCGATAGTTACGGTCGACTCCTGGACCCAATTAAAAATAACTGACTTAATAACTCCTACACCAGCCTTGCTCTGCTTAGAGCAGTGTTGTCCAAACTTGGCCACTTTAAGATGAGTGGACTTCAACTCCCAGAATTCCCCACCCAGCCATGTTGAATTCTGGGAGTTG